TATCCAAAGGAGGTGTGCTCTCTGAACGCAATACGTACTGCGCTTGACCCTCCAGATGTCAAAAGACTGCCGCCTCTGCCTCCGACTCCCTTCTTCATGGCGCGCTGGAGGACGGCCCGGTCAGCAAGCAGCAGCTCTGCGTCGATGTGCTATGCTATGCGATGCTGAAGCCCATGGTTGGCGACTGTTGCATGAATATGTATATATATATATATATATATGTGGGGAGGGGGTCCTGGACCAGGGGGGGGCCTCACTTTGCCCAGTGGCTGTGGTCACCCCCCCGCCGGAGACGCCAGGACGCTCCCAGGACCCTCTAAAATGGCTCCAGGACGCCCTCAGGACAGCCCAAGAGAGGCCCGAAGCGGCCCGGGAGCACTCCAGGACGGTTAAAAAGCTGCCAAAGCGTCCCAGCAGGTCTCCGACAGCATTCCCGGGAGGGGCCCAAGAGGGAATCGTCATTGATTTGTAGTGGGTTTTTGAAGGGTTTTGGCGTTCTCCCCAGTTCGGCTTCCAGACGCTCAAAGACGGCCCACGAGGCCCGCAAGATCGCCTCAATACGAGCCAAGAGGCCCCCAAGAGACCACCGAGACAGCCCAAGAGGGCCCCAAGACGGCCCAGGAAGCTTCCAAGACGGCCCAAAAGAGCTCCCAGAACATTCCAAGAGGAGCCCCAGATGGGGAACACGAACTGACATTTCGAGCCCTCGCCCACCAGAAGCTCCCAAGAGGCCCCCAGGAGTCCGCAAGAGCCCCCGAGAGGCCCCCAGGTGACGATAACGATGACGACGATCACGACGACGACGATAATGATGACGATGGTGATGATGAGGATGATTATGTTGATAATTCAGATGACGATACTGACGATGATGACGACGATGGCGATGATGACGATGGTGCGATGGTGATGACGATGTTGCTGCTGATGGTGGTGATGGTGACGATTGTGATGATGGTGATGGTCATGGTGATGATGACGATGCCGCTGACGATGACGCCGGATATGATGGTGATGAGGGTGGCGATGATGACGATGACGATTATCCTAGCTAGAACTTGAGCGCGCGCGAAGCGCGCGCGATGGTTCTAGTATATATATATATATATATAATGAGTGTGTGTTCGCCGGTCGGCGCGAGGCCCCCCCCCCTCCCACCCCCTGGCATTCCGCCGACCTCCAGCAGAGGATATGTGCGGCTTCCGATCTCGTACGTGTTGTCTGGTCTGCCGCCTCGCGTCGCGCTGTCTGCGTGCCGCTGCTGCTGGCTTCTCCTCTTCTTCCTCCGCGTTTGCTGCGGGGGCTTCCTCTGGGGACCTCTCGACTCGGACCCCTCGGGGCGGTCGCCCCCCGCAGCGTTCAGGGCGTAAAGTTGCTCAGACCTGCGTTCTGAAACTTCCTGGGGAGCTGGCCCAGATCTCTTACACGACAGCATTCTTGATCGCATTTCCGGCTGCATCTTGCTACCGCCCTTCGCCCGTTTGCCCGCCGGTCGTTGGGAGGAGGTATTTTTGGGACTCCCGGATCCCAATCTGCTTTCGGCGCCTCCCTACCTCAGGAATCGATCTGCTTTTGCTGTGTGTTGTTATTCTCTGGGAGGGCCTGAACACAATCTACTTTATCCGCCTTCCTACTTCACGCTTTTACCCACAGTCAACCCTGGTAGTCAGGATGGCCGACTTCCCAAGGGTACCCTTGCATCCGTGCCTCTTCTGTCATCTTCGGTCCATCTTCAACCACGTTCGATGGCCAGCCCCGTTCGAAGAGCCTCGGCATGTGCGTCCAAGGCTTCTGCATCCTTACCGCGCATCCTCACCATACGGGTTGACTGTACTTTTTCCGACCGACGTGCCGCGCCGCCACCAAGCGAAGTGCACACCGGAGAGGCCAGAAGCGAAAAAGGCGACAGCGGAGGAGGGATGGGGAACGGGGAAAAGATCCCAGAGTCTCAAGCGTCGTCGTCGTCGGCGTAGTCTGTCGTCCGTGGTCGCCGTCGTCGTCGTCGTCGTCGTCGTCGTCCGTCGTCCGTCGTCCGTCGTCCGTCGTCCGTCGTCCGTCGTCCGTCGTCGCCGTCGCCGTCGTCGTCGCTGTACTTCTTCTGACCGCTCATCCGAGGTGCCCTGCTGACGGTGGCGGCCACGGCTTCGCCCTCGCCGGCAGCCTCTTCGCTCGAGGAGCCCCGGCGGCCGGCGGCGGGGGCGCACCGCAGCGGGGCTCGACCGTGAGGACGGGGAGGAGGAGGAGGAGGAGGAGGAGGAGGAGGAGGACGAGGACGAGGAGGCGGAGGAGGAGGAGGAGGAGTAGGAGGAGGGGGAAGGTTGGAGGAGGAGGAGGAGGAGGAGGAGGAGGAGAGTTGGAGGAGGAGGAGGAGGAGGAGGAGGGTTGGACGGTTGGAGGGTTGGAGGGTTGGAGGGTTGGAGGGGAGGGTTGGATGAGGAGGACGACGACTGCGACGAAAGGCGAGAGGAAGAGGACGCGAGGCGCCGCTGACGGAGTCCAGCGGGCCAGCCGATCCTCCCGCAGGCGGCCGCTCGTGAAGAGGAGGGGCCGGCTGCGGGTCCCTCGCTTCGTGGCGTTTTCTGTTGTTCGTCCCTCGTTCTGATCGGTTCCAGCGGGATGCGTTCCAGCGGGACTGCGGCGCCGATGAGGGGCAGGAGGAGGGGAGGAGGAGGTGAGGAAGAGGATGAGACGGAAGGAGGAGAGGAGGAGGAGGAGGAGGAGGATGGGGGAGGAGAGGAGGAGGAGGAGGAGGAGGAGGAATTCCTCCGGGATGCGTTCCAGCTGCGCATCGCCCAGCGCGCGTCCGGGGGGGGGCCCAGATCGTCCCAGTCGGCCGGGGGAGGCCGCCCGAGTTTTGGTCCAAAGGCCAACCCCTCCCAATCCCCCCCCCCATGGCTGGCCCGGGGTCTGAGAGCCACATGAGGGCGATCTGCCCTCCTCCAGACCTCAATGGGGTCCGAGTGTGTGTATATATTTATATATGTGTATATATTCACATGTGTAATTATATATATATATATATATCTACATACATACGTGCTTGGTATCCTATCCTCCTCCTCCTCCTCCTTGGTCCTCCTCTTCCTTCTCCCTCCTCCTCCTCCTCCTCCTCCTCCTCCTCAACTCCTCCTCCTCCTCCTCCTACTCCTCTCCTCCTCCTCCTCCTCCTCCTCCTCTTCCTCCTCCTCTCCTCCGCCTCCTCCTCCTCCTCCCTGTTCCTCCTCCTCCTCCTCCCCTCCTCCTCCTCCTCCGCCTCCTCCTCCTCCTCCTCCCTCCCCCTCCTCCTCCTCCTCCTTTTCCTCCTCCTCCTCTCCCCCGCCTCCTCCTCTCCTCGACTCCGCCTCCTCCTCCTCCTCGGGCCTCCTCCCCCTCCTCCTCCTCTCCTCCTCCTCCTCCTCCTCCTCCTCCCTCCCCCCTCCTCCACGCTGAAACTCCTACTCATCCCTCACATCAATGGGGTCCGAGTGAATCGGGGGGGTCGGAGGATCGCGCATCGGCAAAGTATCGGCCGTGAACTGCTCTGAGCGCCCTGCGACTTCAACATCCGAGACCGCTTCCCGTTGTCCTCCTTTTTCGGGGGCGGCCCCGTACCCATTCTACTTCAACCGCCCGATCGCCTGGCTACGTCATGCTTTTGCCTGCTGCCGGACGGCACGTAGGCAGCCTGGCAGCCGTAGGATGCAGCTTCCACCCACTGCACGGCTGATACGAATTTCGCTGGGTGCTTTTGGATCTCTGCATTCCCGCGGCCCACCCTCGACCAATTCCTTTGGCCAGCCGCGTCTTGGAAGGGAACCGACCACGAGCGTTCTCGCCCTTTTTCGGGTCCCCAGGCCATCGGGAAGCAGCGTGGCTCGAGAACTACCCCAGATGGACGGGGTCGGGCACTCCAGTCGCGAGTGCTTCCAAGCGCTGTGTTTCCGCCACGACGTCAGGCGTCGGACATTCCTGGCGGTCAAGACCGCGTGGGCTGTCCCAGAACGGGCCTCGCCATCGATAAGTCGAGGGGCACCCTCGCACCTTCCTGGAAGCTTTTTTGGAGTGACCTGGGACCTACACCGAGCAGAACTCTTGAGAAAAAAAGCGCAAGGCGATCGGGGACTCCAGATTCCGCCCAAGGAGATCAAGAATCTGGGCTGGGCCCCGGGCGTTGTCTTGGAGCTCCTCTTCCTCCTAATTCGAGTGCTCTAGTACCTCTGGACCCGGACTGCTGCTTTGTTTTGAGGAAACGCCCTGGATTGCGAAGTCGGTGTTCCTCGCCTCGAATTGTCTTAACTCTCAGCAGGTGCCGCCGCGCTGGAGGGGACGATGGGGTAGCTTGCAGAGCACTTGCCCCACCTCCAGCAGGCTCCTCCGACCCGCACCCTGGCCAGCAGCGCAGCAGGAGAGGCAGCTCACAGACTCCGCGGCCAGGGGGGGCAGGCAAGCCCGCATATAGAGCTCGTCTCCCGTTGCGCTGCCTTGTCGCACCTCGTGGGGTGCAGGAGAATCTCCAGCCCTGCTCACAGGCCCCCCCCCCTCGCCCCACCCCGTCTTCGAGCGCCTCTCCAGCGGGCTCTTGGAGCCTCAAGCCCCGTGCTGCTGGTCTCGGGGACTCCTCCTCCTCCTCCTCCTCCTCCTCCTCCTCCTCCTCCTCCTCCTCCTCCTCCTCCTCCTCGTGTACCCTCGCAGAACCGATTGTCGCGGTCTCGGGGCCACCGACTGTGGCATTCGCAGCAGTGTCGGTCCATCTGGCACCGGGTGCAAGGGAAGCGCTCCAGGGCAGGCGCAGACGGGGGGAAGGAGGGTGCGGAGGGGGCCAGCCAGCGCGGGAGGCCAGATGGGAAAAGAGAGGAAGGGGCATTCGCTGGCGATCTGTCGAACACATGTTCCATCCCCCCGGCGAGGAGAAATGCAAGCCCGAGAATCGCAAGGCGTTTGGCGATTCCCTGCTGGGCCCATGGAACGAGCTGTACTCTCAGTACGTGATCCAGGCGTTTAACAACACCCAGGGGCCAGCCATGATGACGCTCGGGGACGGGCACTACAACGGCATGTTCTTCAACTTCATGGCCCACATCAACCGAACGGCCTGGGAGAGCAAGAAGAATTTCACGGTGGTCAACATGGCGCTGGACACGCTCGCACACCAGGCCTGCACGGGCCTCCGGGAGCGGCTGTTGATGACCCGCCTCCAGTGGGAGGAGCACTACGTGGAGGAGATCACCGAAGAGCCGCCGCCGCCAGAGCGCTCGACCTTCCTCGGGCGCCTCAGGAGCTCGGGGGCGGCGAAACGATGGGGATTCTTCCCCACCCAGACCCCCCCGCGTTGTGAGAAAATCACAGCGGGGAGTCTGCCGCGACTTCCGGCCCCCGGGGGCCCTCACCGGGCCCCAGGGCCGTCAAAACACGACTCAGAATGAAAAACCAGTCCTGGGGAAGGGGTCCAGACCTCTGGGCGTCGACGTTGTGACAAGAATCACGACGTCGGGAGTCTGGGCAGGAGGGGGGCAGGGGGGGGGGGGAACGTCGACCCCCCGCTGGCCCATTCGTCCCACCCTGTCCGGGATCGGGCAGTGCAAGAGCGCCGTGATGTCTTGGTTCGCCTTGGCCCTCCAACAAAAGGTCAAACATCTTGTTCGTTCCTGGCCCTGAGTCAGAGTGTTGTGAGCGGAGAGTTGACAATTCAATGTCTTATCACGATGCCCACCGTGGGTTGGATACTAGTTTTGAATGGGGCACTATCGCACGTCTCCTCCTCCTCCTCCTCCTCCTCCTCCTCCTCCTACTCCTCCTCCTCCTCCATTCCTTCTCCTAACAAATGACTTCTCCCTGTCGCACCCCGAGGCCAGTATTTAGGGCGGGCCGGGCGTTTCGCCTGAGACGTGCTCACCATCAGCTTCACAAATGGAGGGCGGGTGGTTTTCAAAATGTGGCTCTCGCGTTAGCGCCGCGCACACTCGTCTTAAACATTTGCAGGAGTTTCACGGATTGAGGGCGGGTGGTTTTCAAATTGTGGTTCGCGCGTTAGTGCCGCGCACATTCGTGTTAAACATTGCGAGAGTTTCACGGATAGAGGACGAGTCGTTTTCAAAATGTGGTTCTCGCGTTAGCGCCGCGCACATTCGTTTTAAACAATTGCAGGGGTCTCACGGGTTGAACGCGGTTCTTTTTCAAAATTTGGTTCTCGCCTTAGCGCCGCGCAGATTTGTTTTAAAAAATGCAAGAGTTTCATGGATTCAGGGCGGTTCTTTTTCAAAATGTTTCTCCGCCTTAGCGCCGCGCATTTTCGTTTTCACAATTGCAAGAGTTTTACGGATTCCCATGATCAGCGTACCCAGAATGATGTTTTGGAAGGGTTCAGGCTTATGAGGGTGCACGCGTTATGCTGAGTCGTGGTATTCAAGTCCCAAGAACGGCGTTCTGGCATAATCCAGGATCGTCAAGACGCAACAGTCAGGTTGATCAGTGGCGTTGAAATCGCGAGAATAATGTTTTGGCATGCTTCAGGGTCTCCAAATAGTTGTCTTCCAACGTGGCAGTTACCTCAGTAAGCATGAAACGTTGTAGGGGCCTGTGAAGAGGGAGCTTGGAGGGAGGCTGTATTCCAACATCGTTGATGCCTCTTGGGTTTACACTGGTCCTCCTCCTCCCCCTCCCCCTCCTCCCCCTCCTCCCCCTCCACCCCCTCCTCCTCCCCCTCTCCCCCTCCTCCCCCTCCTCCTCCTCACCTCCTCCTGCCCCCTCCTCCTCCCCCTCTTCTTCCTCCTCCTCCTCTCCTGCTCCTCCTCCTCCTCCTCCTCTCCTCCCTCCTCCTCCTCCTCCTCCTCCTCCTCCTCCTCCTCCTCCTCCCTCCCCTCCTTCTCCTCCTCCTCTCCTCCCTCCTCCTCCTCCTCCGCCTCCTCCTCCATCGCCTCCTCCTCCTCCTCCTCCTCCTCCTCCTCCTCCTCCCTCGCCTCCTCCTCCTCCTCCTCCTCCTCCTCTCCTCCTCCATCGCTCTCTCCTCCTCCTCCTCCTGCTCCTCGCTGCTCTCCTCCTCCTCTCCTCCTCGCTCCTCTCCTCCTCCTCCTCCTCCTCCTCCTCCTCCTCCTCCTCCTCCTCCCCCCCTCCCCCTCCCGCTCCTCCTCCTCCTCCTCCTCCTCCTCCTCCTCCTCCTCCACCTCCTCCTCCTCCTCCTCCTCCTCCTCCTCCGTCTCCTCCTCCTTCTGCTCGCCTGGTTGTCCCTTCCCCTGGCCTGCGACCTGTGCAGCTGCCGCCACGTTCGTGGGCTCCTGCAGGCCCAACAGAGTGACGTCTTACACGGATCAGAATGACCCAGAGGGGGAACACGCACAGAGACAGACACAAACACAATCGTCGACCCCCTGGAAAATGTGGGAGTATACGGGGGGAGGATGCGATCCGTTTCCGATCCGATCCGATCTCGCGGTTCGATTCGGTTCAGTCTTGCCTGCTTGTGAGGGTCCCACGTGTGGTTTCGAGGGCCGAGGGGCGCACTGCGCGATCGGCAGTCCGTGGCAT